GATCACCTCCTTTTCAGGGAGAACTAATGCTTGTTGGGTATTTTGGTTTGACACTGCTTGACACCCAAAAAGAAGCGAGCTACGTCTAAGTGGAACTTAGATATAGAAGCCTTCTTTCGTTTTTCGACGGTGAAGTGTGTTCTCCCCACATGCATACCTCACTACCAATGACTAATTTTTGTTTCTTGAGTTTGTTATATTTGTGGCGGTTCATGTGATGATAGTCAGAAGTAAATGACCTTAGACGTGTTAAGATATTTCGGACCGATTACCTCAAGGTGCCTTAACGATGATTTGGAGGCGCCTTAGACAGCTTGAAATATGATAAGTTCAGAAAAAATGCATGGACACCCTTTTAAGGTTATAAATACCCCAAAGATTCTTACTAAAAAATAATTTAAACTATAACCATAGTACATGAAACCGTTTCTATTTCTCTAGTTGTGCAAACTTACCCATTCACCCCGTGCGAAACCTGCAATTTGTTAAATCTATTTTGATGCTTCTCCACTTACTTGCCCCTGAACCCAAGTTCCCCACATTTCCGCCTCAAGCTTGGCTTCCCTTACTTCCGCCTTAAGCCGAGCTTTCCTTACTTCCGCCGTCTTAAGAGCTCTTACTTCCTCCTTTAAGAGCCTTTACTTCCGCCTCAAGCCTGGCTTTCCGCCTTAAGCCGAGCTTCATTTGCCTCAAGCCGCAAGATAAGTTTATCTTTCTCTACTTCTAATTTTTTCTTTAATTCTGCAATTTGAGTCTCCCTTTTTAATCTCTCTTCCGTTTCCTGAATATACCATAAGTAGTCATATGTCAAAACTTTATGTTTGGTTGGATGAAATTCATATTCCTTAATCAAACTTTAAACATCATATATCGCAAATAAGAAATTGCATGAGGAATAAGCAAGTAGCTAAAACAATCGGTAATAGTTGAATTGAGAGGATATTTGATACAATCGTTTCAAATTAACAATTAGTTGTTTTTATCTAATATGATAATAAACAGTAATATTTGAATTATGAATTATGACAATTGTTAATAACGAATTATCAAGATTTATCACGATTTTTTAAATAAAAAAATAATTAT